TCCAGTTCTGTTGTTTGCTGCGTCTTTGTCAGCTCCAGCATCGAGCAACAATCGCGCAACTTCCAGGTGGCCACTCTGAGCTGCAGTGCTCAGAACCGTTGTGTAACTTCCGTATGGTGTTGCATTTGGGTCTTGCGGTTTTTGAAGCAGCCTTTCAACATCAATGACATTGTTTGTTTGACAACTGAGAAGCAGTTCTCGATCAGGAGCACAAAAAGGCAGGATTACCATCTGTATAGATGGTAGCGGTCTCAAGGGCATGTCATCCTGCAGTTCGATTTCCTCACTGAAGAGTCTTTGCCGAAACCTGGAGCACCTAACTTGAACTGAGAGGAGTTGCTTTAGATCACGAATGGTTTTCCCACTTTCCACCATGTGAAGGAACTCCTCCTCATCAAGCTGGGCAACTGTTGTCCCGGACAAAGCCGTGACCAGCATCATTGAGATTCAGAAGCAAGCAATGCCGGCTTGAGCCATGGTCGGAGTCAAGTCTGTAAAAACTGTGTTGGAGGGTCCAGATATGTTCCACAAATTATGCATACAAAGCAACTGGCCACACACCAACCAACACCCCAATAACCTATGTATGGGGGAAACAAATCTATAGCAATGTATGAAAACATGGAAAAAACACACACCCTTAGGCCCTACGGTATGAACACTGCGATGAAAGTGTATGCTATATTATATGCATATACTTCTTGTATACTTCTTGGGAAACAAAAAACACACATTCCAATGTGATTCTCATCGGCTCTTAAACCCTGGTAGAAGCTCCCCCAAAGCTAGGATACATCGAAGCAACATGCAAAATACGTCCAAATCACATCAAGGGGGATAGATGGGGATACAAGTTGAGGTGATCGTTCAATTGTTGCACCCAAAAGTCAAAGGTTTCCTCCTGGACCCACTGGAAGCAGTGGTCAATCCATGTCAGCCCCTTGAAATACATCGCTCAGTTCATCTCCTTTCATCGTTGGACTTTCGGACCTCCACCCCAACCGACACCGACACGACGCTCCCGCGCCACCGCGCCTATCGGCGAGGACGGGGTTGAAGACCTGCTTGAGCAGCGTGACGTGCTCCGCTCCCAGGGAATCATAGGAGCCCTGCGACGGCGGGAGACGCTCACGCCGAACGGCGCGCTTGCGCGCTTGGTTTCGCCGACCTGACCACCAACGCGCGCCTCGGTCAAAGACTTCAAGAAGGCCTGAGATGCGGGGGTTAGTCGCTCAGTCACTTCAAGATGGTGGTGGTGTTCATGTTTGGTGTTGTTCTCGGGACTTAGCAAGGATGTGTGTGCTTCAGTTGAGACTTTTGGTGAGAGAAACACCTGATATCTCCAGCGCTGAGCCTGTTCAAATGGGTATTGTAAAGTTGAATTCATTAAAAACATATTCGAAGTTTTGACTTCCTCCCCTAAGAATCTGAAAGGACTGGACATCAAGGCAAACATCCTGTACTGGTCTTTCATGTTTCATATATTGTTTGACTCCCGAATCTTTGGACTCTGAGTGACGTGGTTTGCAGGTCCCAGCTTTGACTCCCCGAAACTTGGACGTCCCTGAAACATCAGGAATCCGTCCAAATCTGAATCACTGATTGAAAACTTAACCTGGAAGAGCATCCAGAAATCTCCAGAATCCCAATCCATCCCAAGGTCCCTCCAAAAACACGGACTTCTGCTTCTTCCCCCCCGTAGAACCGGCGTCCAGGTGATCATCGCCTTGCCTTGCCCAGGGTGATGCGGCCCTCGACCGAGTCGAAGGGAGCACCTCGATGGGGCGAGTCCACGGAGTGCTGAGCACATGGTACCAGCGGCCGCCCGTATTCCCAGGCAAAAATAGAAGGTGTTCGCATTTATAAGAACCATGTCATTTCTTTTTCTGGAGGGAAAATTATATATAGGGTGTCATTTGATGATTTGTGGGGCCGTTTGGAGCGGATGTGCTGAGCGATGTTGACACTGAAAGAACATGACTTGCTGTCAGCCTTTTCGCAGGCAAACGGGGCACGGCCTCAACTCGAGTTCACCAGAGGGAACTCCCTGCGATCTAGATGTAGGCTTGTGTTGAAGCCAAAGGGCAAGAAACGCAGCATTTGCGAACCATTCTCTCGCCAGCTCTTCTTTGCGAGATGGGTGCCTCATGTGTCTCCTCAAGGGTGCAGCCCAAAGTCATCCACCTGTCACACGATCCTGCAACGACGTGTTCAGAAAGCCGATGTCCAACTCTGTACCGAAACCGAATCACCCGAGGCACGCACGACCCAAACAAATAAAACTCTCCCTCTCCGCTTGATCAGCTCACTGAAGACATCAGTAAACAGACCCGCCCATCTGGACCTGATTCTTTTTGATATATAGTCCCCATGTGCCGAGGCGCTGCAGGGCGGCATGTTGGAGGCAAAACGCTCCGGTTGGCTGAGATCGAACTTGTCCAAGGCCAGGTCCACACCTGACCGCGGAAACGCTCGACCGTCCGGTCGGGTTGGAGACCGAAGGGTGAGAAGCTTCCAGGCCCCAGGTTCTTCGTGAGCCTGCGAGGTATTTGTAGGGTAGCTAACTGCAAGTTTGTCCATCTACTACTACAGTGTATCCGGGCTCTAGCTTGCGAAGGCCTGTTAGCATGAAGCTCCACCATCTTGGTCAATGATGTGTGCATTGACATATAATAATCTTATACAATATCACATAATATCTTGCACTTGCTTTAGGACTCCAACAACATCCTGAGAGAAGGTAGCTAGACCGCAAAACCAACAGGCCTATTAGCCTACAAGTATATTATTTCTATACGCTCCCTGCAATCATGGGATCAGTGGATGGCACCGCCCAGTCCAAGGGTGCTGATGCCTTCCGGTCAGACCAAACAGGTGAACTCCATGAAACCATCATGTCAGCCTCTGAAACCACCTGAGTGCGACTCCACATGAAACCGGTACTCCCCATGAAACCGGTCCCCATGAAACCGGTTCTCCATGAAACCACCTGAGTGACGGTGTAAGTCGAGAGCCTCTGAGCTCCACCGCTCTGCCTCTCTTCCAGACCATCGACCATCGGACCCTGTCGTTCGGTGTGTGCCTTGTGGCTGGTCCTTCTGCGTGAGCTGGAAGCGTTGAGGCATGAACCTCGGGACTGTTCCCATGGGTCGGCATGCAGAAGGCACAGGTTGATGTGATGATCGCTATGATGATCGATGCAACAAAAACACCGAGGAGAGAAACACGTTGAAAGGAAGATACATCATATGGTTGTTTGGCAAGTAGGTCGTCATTTACAGACCTTCTGAATCTAGCAACTGTTCAATCTTCTCATGCTTGAAGGGATAAATAAGTGTTTGCGTTTGGACCAATGCTATGAACATCATCAAATGTTGCCTTCATGTTTGTTGAACAAGCCAAAACAGTAGTTCCTCCCAAGCAGTAGTGGAGCGAGTACTGAGTATCGGTCCGGAGAAGGCTCTTCTTCATGGGTCATCATGCTCAAAAGAGTGTCTTGCATACCACACACTTTCCTTAATTATGCTGTGAGTCTCCAACGTACCCTTAAACAGTGGCACAAAAAGAAGCACCTTAAAGCACACTTAGGATGCCGGGCCCCAATGTTTGACACATTCTCATCCCAGTCAGCCGTTCTCATCTCCACTGTTTCGCTTCATCCCGTCAAGCTACATGGGGCGGCCAGTTGGGCCCAGCTGCATCCCTGCGTGGGGGAACGTCGGTCACCAGTGGTTCTAGTTCGACTCTCCGACCGAGTGGTTCCAGTGCCGTTGACAGCCTGACCTTCGACTTGCTGTCGAACTGGAAGAAAAATAGAACAAAATACATATACCCTAGGGCTCCAACCATCTCCTGAGAAGGTGGTTGGGGTGGGTTTTGGGGGTCTAACCACCTTCTGAGGAGATGGTTGGAGCCCTAGGGATAGTAAGAAGAAAGCAGGTTGTTTTCATTGACTGTTGTAGCTGGGTGACTTCTTCGCTTGGAGCTTCGATCCTGAAACGGACAAATTCTTTTTTGTTGGTCGAAGGTTTTGCAGCCATCAGAAGCCATCTCAATTAGCCCAGATTCGAATCTGAATCTAACCTGACATGCACGACTGGGTGCGGTGGCAAGCTTAAGGATACTTCCACAAAGACTCTTCACCAGAAAAGTTGCTTGAATGCATGCATCTTATGCTCAGAAATTTGATCATTCAACCGTTGGGAACGACCTGCATCGTTTGATCCCTAGGCCCCTAGGGCTCCAAGTATCTTCATGAGGTGTTTGGGGTGGGTGCCAGGAGGGTCCTGTCATACCTTAGAACCGCGAACCGCTGTTCGGGATGCGGCCGTGGGCGTTAGGAATTTCGAGGGACAGAAACCACTCCGACTTCGCGATGACGGCGATGATGGCGCGATGAAGCGCCTTGGATGTCGAAGCGCGCAGGCTGTGTGAGGGCAGCTCCTGAGAGAGCCGAGTGAAAACGTGTTTTTCGACGAAGGAGTGTGGTGTCAGGAGCCTCGAAGGAGGTGAGGTCTCACAGGCGACGATTCTCACAGCGCTTCTCAACATAAAATTGAGACCCTGCCTGGGGAATGCATCATAGTTTACGGAACATGGCACCACCTGTTTCATGATGAACAAATGTGTCATCCTCTCAGGGCCATGCCATCTACATCCATGATGTATTTCAGGCATTGTGCCTCGGCTGATGGACCTCAAAAAAAGGACAGGGAAAAAGACCAGGCAGGCAGCGGCAGGCACGCAGGCGGCGCTCAGGCGCCGGGAATGCGCAGACCCACTTCACTGTACTGAGCATCTGAGTTGTTCCTTTCCACTAGCAATGGGTTTAGGAACTCCCTGTAGCTCCTTGGCTCCCAGTTTAATGGTGAATACGGTCCTTCCTGAGCTCCCTCCTGAGCAACAGCTAGTTTATGCTTATGGTGTGGCTGGTCACGATGCATCATCAGGAAGCTAAAAATCTAATTCAGGCTTCGAGAAGCACAAAACCTCAACAGGATTTGAAATACTGCATCAAATCTGCCACGACACCATGAATCAACGGAACAGCTTTACTTCAACGACAAAAAACAGTCTTTTGATGAGTCCTTCTTCTTACAAACTCCACAAATCTCCACAAACACCTTCTTTCTTTGGGCTCAAAACTGCCGTCTTCACCCGCCTTCACCGAACATCTCCGTCTCAAGATCCCGCCCCAAACCTCCCACGGTCCTGGCAGCGCACCACCTGGCACCATGCCAGCGGTGGGCAAAGAGGGTCGCTGTGCCAGCTGGAAGCGGTCAAGGCCTTTGGACCAGTTCGCAGTCAACGGAGGGAGAACCGTGGATTGAGCGTCGAGAAAGCAGAAGTGTCCCTCAGTTGGGGTGGGTTTCAATAGACCGCCCCATCTATAGATCATTTAGACCATTATAGAGTGATGTGAGTACCCCCAAAATGACCATGGAACATGTGTTGTCCTCTACTAACAGGCCGTTTTCAACTTCCATGTTGGTTGAGGGAGGTCGAACAAATCGGTGGATGACACATGGATGTTCATTGTATCTCCAGAGTCCACGGGAGCCCAGTGTGGGCCTTGAGTTGCCGGCTGGTCCAAACCAGGACCACGTTTCACCCTGGTAGATGGACCTCCTCCGTCTCTTCATGTCTCTTCTGTTCATGTTGGTGCCATGACTGCCATGACCCACAACGCGATGCTTCCGGATGAGCTGAGGGTGTTCGGTGTTCATCTCAGGTCCTGCCCACTACGACACCTTCGGAGTCTCAATCCTCAATCATCACCTATCAAAGTGGAGAAACCATGAGAAACCATGTTAAATATCCAGTTCCATGGGGTTCCGACAAAAACACCACTGCAGAAAATCGAAAGCAGGGTGATATTGTCCCAAAACACTCCATGCGATGTCCCAAACACTCCGGACTGGCACATTGACCTACATCTGGGAGTGTTGCTGATTGACTTCTCGGATCCTGAGACCTTGTGAGAGGTGCTTCTCATGGAGACCTCGCGGATCCAAGTGATCCATCAGCGAGAAGTATAAAGAACGGATCCACTCCCTGAAACAAACATTTCCAGTGGACAACCCCCTGTTTGTAGAGAAAGATCGTATTTCTTCCAGGAGGCCGCTGAATCCACTTTCACGATTGTTGGAGGGAGTAATTACTTTCCACCCGCGAAAACGGGCAACAAAGAAAAAAAAGAAACCTGAGGTCGAAGGGGCCAAACTGCACACCACCGTAGATGGCATGGAGGTTGTTATTGAGCCCGGTCTGCATGTCACGCAGCTTGCCACCTGCAGTCTGGTGGTTGGGACGTATCTCCTGATGTGGATTCACCCGGCATGGTCAGTTGCCAAGTGTTCTATAAGGATCTATAAGGCATGGATGAGCTACCAGGGCTCTTTGGATGAGCGACCACAAATGCCTGACATCAGACGATCTTGGGGAAATGGATTACAATTGTGTTTAAAGCTTAAAGCATGTCATGAACCTGGGTGATTATGGGGCATAACAATAGCCGAACAATGATTAAATCTGATAAAAATAGTCATAAAAACATCCTGAACAGCACCAAACGTCCAGGTTCTTGACAAGGACCACTCTTGTGATCCTTCATCCGACCTCTTCTCGCACGCAGCTCCACTCGGCAAAACAACACCACACACCACCACCACAACACCAGCAGCAGCAGCAACAACAACGACCGACCACGACCAGTAACCAGTAACCAACAACCAATAAGAACAAAGGCGTGCTCGATCCCAAATCCCAAAACGGTGCCGAAACACCTTGCAGCTGGATCCGGGAGTTGCCACGCATGTTCCAGAGCTGTGGAATCTCCGGATGAGCCTGCCATGACCGACACGGTGCGTCCGTGACCTCCAAAAGGTCTCCGAAGACCGGTTTCTTTTTAGATACGGACACGGTCTCTTTGGGGGGACCGTTCCGGGTTTTACGGTTTCAGGGACGGTTTTCCGCCAAAAATAGAAACACACACTGTGTGAAAATGCCTTCAACTGGCCAAAAGCTATCAAGCCCAGCATCCTGCTTTCCTATACTGGCATCATCCCACTGAATTCCACTACAAGAGTGCTTCCCTTGGGGCCCTGGGGTTGAAAGGACGCCGCAGTTGAAAGACACCCTTCCCTTGAAAAAACAATCTGGCTCCAAGAGATGATTTGGGCTCCAATGATGTTATTTTGTCCACCGCTCACCTCTGAATCACTGGCTCCAATAATTGTGGCGCTGGTGGCTTCAACTCACTTGAAAAAATATTAGTGAGTGGGTTTAATCATCCCCAAGTAAAGGTTGAACATCAAAATATCTTCTGAAACCACCACTCAGCAGAACCCCCGGTTTGGGGTGTCCAATAATAGCTCCTTAGAGGTTCATGGGTGTCTATTAACCACCCCTTAGGGGGTCCTGGCACTTGTTCGTTCTCTTCCGCCAGCTCACCTCTGGCACAGTCGAGCTCACCAGCTCATCCGCAATGTCATACCTCACCGCTGGGCGCCGCGTGTCAAAGCTCGCTGGGATCGCAAAACGTTGCCTCGTCTTGTTGATTCTTTCGAGAGTGAACGCCCAACGTGACTTGTCTCTTCAGTCTTTCTTTCGGAGATGGGGTTTGATAAAAGTAATTAGACTGTAACTCGTGGCGAAATCTAAAGAGAATTCAGAAGGTTCTATATCCCAAACACTCCATGTATGGCATATATGCCTACATTGAGCTCTGAAACCATCACAACGTGCGGCGATATGGTTTAGAGTTCAAATGTGTTCGTTCGGTGGTTCCGAAACGGTGTTCACGCCGTTCGACGGGCGTAGCCCGTTTCCACCGGGTGGAGTTCGACGGGCTTGATGCGAAAGGCTCTAGCCAACGGCTTAGATGGCCCATCCTCACCCATGAGTTGTTGGTGTCGACTCTGAACCCGATGTGGAAGTGGAGACGGACATCCCACAAACCCACCAACAACCAGGTGGCTGGATGGCAATCGGGAAATGTTCACAAAAACAAATCACTTGTGTGATCTATTCTCTGACCCAAACACTCCATGTATGCCGTATATGCTTACATTGGGGTGGTTTTGGGGGGTCAATGTAGGCATATATGGCAGTCCCATGGAGTGTCTGGGTGAAGCTACTGCCAAACTGGTGAAAGTAGCTTTGAAGCCTTGAAGAACTACGAAGAACTTGCAGAAAATAGAAAAGGCGAACAGAGAGGATCCACAAAAATGATGTACCAGTATTGTTTCATCCTCCGTCTATACCCTCATCTTGAACAAGTCCAATGCTACACTATAGGTGTCTTTTTATAAACCTCCTTTATGATCAGTGCTGTGGTCTTTGTGGAACCCGTGTTCTCCCAGGTGGTGGGTGGAACTTCCGTGCTCTGTCCGTCTTCGTTCGTCTCTCCACATTTCGGCCACGGCGTGCCATCGCGGGTCCACGGAGATCTTGGCATCCACCAAGTACTTCGCCATCACGGAGGCCTCCGCCGACGACGAGACGACGACGTGAGCGAGTGACTCGGAGCGGTCGAGGAGAGGAGAAGTGAGTGAAACAAAGTCTTAAGGGATCAGCTGAGGATATGACGATGATTTTTTTCTCTAGTAGATGAGAGATTATAACTATGTCATGCAAGTGTTTAGTTTCTGAAAGACTTGCGGATATGTGAGGGATTGTGAGGGTGACAATGTAATGGATGGAAGTAATCACTTGTGGATATTATACTGCATCTCGAAACTGGAAGTTCAACCAACGTCCAAACCTATAAACACTTACACTTACACAAAGTTCAAGCAACTTCCAAACATATAAAACATAGGAAGTCCTCACGACCTCTTTCTTCCCAGTGATCCTATAGGCTAGATCCGTTGCCCCGGCTCGGCCGATCAGATCCGGTCGTCCGCCTTGGCGAGCTCCCGGAGGTGGAAGATCACGCTCTTGCGCTCGGCGATGAGGTCGAAGTGCCGCGAGAAGGCGTCCGCGAACCTCGAGGAGGGCGGAGACGAGAGAGGGTGACGCGGAGACGGGAGGCAGGTGGCCGAAGGGGTGGTGGAGGAGGGCCGGTGGATGTGACATGGGAGGGAAGCATATAGCAGAGATGTTTTTCATGACAGTCCGAAGCACCTGATTGCTCTATCTGGGGCTTGATTGCTCTAGGCTCACTCCCACCTTCGTGTTTGGGTGGGGGGACTCCTATACATCCGACGATGGGGATGGGTAGTGAGTCCACCATGTAGGGGGGGCGGTACACGTTGGTAGGTCGTGGCCGGTGGGTCTCCCAGTGCCAGCCATGCCAGCAGGTTGGGTTGAATCATATTTAACCCTAGGGCTCCAACCATCTCCTGAGAAGGTGGTTGGGGTGGGTTTTGGGGGTCTAACCACCTTCTGAGGAGATGGTTGGAGCCCTAGGGTAACATCAAAGGACGAGTGGCGAAAAAGAGGTGGATTGCCGAGGCCCCACCGATCCGCACTGCTTGGTGGTCACTCTTTCACTCAGAAGGAACGAAAAGGGGCCCGGGGCCATGCCATCACATCGAAGGGCCCAAAATGAGGAACGGACACTAGATGTACATTCCCGGAAACTCACATAGACCCTGACGTCCTGGCCCCCTGGAAGAGTGTTTTCCTTTACCAACCAGTGGTTTTCAGGGTCCATGTTAGTCTTCCAGGGTGTATTATGTATGGAAACCTGAAGAGAATGTGTTCAAAAACATTCAGCCAAGGACAAATTGAAAGGAAACTTATGGAGACTTTCTCTATCTCCATTTGGAGCACCAGTGCATGAAGGTGGAGCATGGACTGGCTGCATCTGGCTGCGAGTCTGATGAAAGGTGACTCCAAACAGGTCACTGGCACTGGGGGAAACACCACGTCCGGCACAGGGTATCGGGGCAAGGACCTCTCCAATGAGGGCTTGGTCCATGGTACCCTACACCTCCAACTGGCTCCAACAACCTCCTGAGAAGATGGTTGGGGTGGGTGCCAGGGGGTTCGAATACCACCGAACCTGAGGAGATGGGACAGTCGTACTCCTCATCTGCCCTTCATCTCGTCACATCAACACACCGCGCCGTACTGCTGTGCGGCCTGGTAAGAGGATGATTCTTGCCTTGGACCACGAGGACGCATGGACGCGCAGTTCCGCGCAGTTCCACACCGGACTGACTGCCGGTTGTTCTACCCGGACGCTGATCCTGGGGACTGCCATCTCAATCGCTCACCCAGTGCCATCTCATCTCCCGTGGCACCTGGGGTAGTGGACTCTTGAGTTCGGTATACCCCACAGGTCACTACCCCAGTGACTTAGAAGCTTCTCATCCAGCTTCTTTGGAGCTCGGAGTCCTATGGTATGGCCAGCGAAGATGACCGAAAAGCACGGACTTGAAAGCACGAGGATGGTATGTGAATCCCTCAACTAGGGTGTGCGCAGCTTATTTACCTCACACTCTCATGTGGGTGCCGCAATCTGCCAAAGAATGGTAGAGCACAGTCAGTTAACATGAATATATAAACATCAGTTCTGGATGGCTCCCTGATAAAATACAAGTGTCTTTTGCGATTGACTAAGCGTTTCGGGATGGCTCGAATCATTTGACTGTCACTGTCCTTGGTGAGCTGTAAACGCATTTGCGCAATGGCTGCTGTTGCCGTCCAGGTCGCTAGTGATGGCCTTGTCCTCCAAGCCTTTGCCGGTCACGACCTGCTCTCTCGCCTCAACGCCCATCTTCACAAAGGGAATCAGGGTCTTGTCCTGCGAAGCAGCAGGTGGAGGTCATGTGGTTCGGACGGTTTGGATGTCTTTTTTAATGTTTTTGTTCGTGGCCAGTCCAAAAGAGGCAAGCGTTGATTGGTATAGTTCAGCTATGTTCAGCTACTAAGCCCAAAAGATCTTCAACAACATGAGACATCAACATTCTCCACACTATTCTCCACACACATATCATATATATATATATATATATTCAAACAGATTCACTACATGATTCACTCCTCTCCCCTTTTCCCCCCACCACATCCTTCGGTCTCCCGAAGCCGGGGCGACCCGGTGCCGCGCCTCGGACAGGCGGACCTCGGCCTTGCGCACCACGAACCACTCGCGCCCGGCCCAGGCGGAGGTGGAGTCCATCATCTCCGACCAATCGAAGACGCTCCTCGGCAGGCGGAGCGGAAGGGAGAGCAGATTCTGAGGTCTGGAGGGGTTTGGGTGGCCCAAGTTTGGGGTTTGAAGAGATGGGATCTGCCAGAAGTTTCTTATTTTTTGGGGAGGGAGGAGCAAGATAGGGGGAAATGAATGTGGGGCAAAAAGGACACCACGAAGGGATCTCCTCAGACCAAAGTAGGAGGAACCTTGCACCTCCCCTGCCGCCTTTTAGGAGGCTTTGTCATATTTGATGGTATGAAAATTCTCTCACCACCAAACCCCCTGCAACACGGCCGAGAAAGAAAAACAAACACAACAAATCCAATGAATCCAGTGGATGCCCGCACGGTTGTAGAGTCGCTGCACTGCCGTGAGACCCCCAGAGACTAAATAAAGAGTCACTCTCTTCAATACAGTGCCTGCTAGGGTTCTTGCGTATATATGCCGATCACACGAAGTGGAGGAATCGAACTATACGTTTATATCACCCCAATGCAGTTTCTGTCCATTTGGCCATTTGGCCCGATCCTGGGCTGTCCAGGGTTCCGACCCTCCGTTGAACCAGCCGAACACGGGGGGCCGCGGGTCGGAGACCCGCGCTGCTTTCAGGCTCAGTGTCATCATGCCCACCACAGGCATGGTGTACTCGCCCAGGGCCAACTCTTTCAAAAAGTAGTCCGCCTAAACCCGTGGCGTGTCGGAACTGGTCCAAGCAGAGCGAGTGAAGTGTGTATGATATTTTTGTGTATTGCCAGGCCGCGCAGTCTATATCTGACCCCTTCAGTTTGCCTGAAAAGTGCAAGTTCACCGGTTACTGCAACCTTTTACCCAATCCCCCCAAAAAATAAATGTTATCCAATCTTATCCACTGACTGGGTAGGAAAGTGGTTCCGGAGTTCAACACCTCCAAGTGTGTCTCAAGGACAAAGGTTTCAAAAGTGGTGGATGAGTCTTGTTTTTTTCCTCCAGTGTCACCCCATCCAGTGTCACAACCTCCCCATCCAGTCCGCTATATTTGGAGGATTCCTTCAACATGGAAGGTTGTGACACTGGATGTGTGCAAAGTAATATTTGGTGCTTCATATGTCACATCAAATCATGAACTCCAAATGATTCAACATACTTAATAGCCCCTTTGTATATGTCAAACAAAACATTTTTGGGTTGGAAACTATGAAACACTATACTCCATGTATTTTTTTTGGCTGGGAATACAAAGGGGCCCAAACATGTCATCCGTTCTCAAGAGCCTCACCTTTATCCTTTCTCACCTGGAGCGAAGCCTCACCGCCGAACGTCACACGACGTCACGTGGCAAAACGACGCCTGGAACATGATGTCGCCCACACTCGTCCCGGCCAACCAAGCGGGCTCGTAACGTTTCATTTGCGGAGTCTTCTCCTCGGCGCGAGAACGCGTGCTCACCAAGGCGCGAAGGCCCCAAAGTTGAGAAAAACGTTTTGCGGCAAGATATAGCATGGATAGTCCTCATATGAAACATTTTTTTTTGATGTGTTTGTTCAAGGTTGGCGTTTTCCAGTGTTTCCATCCATATTTTGCCTACCTTCAAAAAAATCATGTTTTCACCATGGCAGCTTGTTTCCAGGTGCAGTCGTTCCACTTGTTACCTGTTGTGTGCAGAAACAAGCTGAATGAAACTATGGAACCGAACACAAGCAAATTCTGTAGCCACCATGCCCAGTGGATCCAGAACAAAGAACAGTACCACCAACCAAATTTGAAGCAACCCGGTGGTTCCAAGGGCTATAGAGTTGGGCGGCCTAACATCCAGGGAAGAGGAAAATGACCAGGGAAGAGGTAAAGTTCCAGGAAAGGTGGACTCTAAATGCTAGCACTGCCTGCATGCAACATTAATACAATTAGCAAAGCAGTCTTTTACAAGTATTGGTAAGAGCACCAAATAATAACTAGTCAACATCCAATGGCAATGACATGTGCCCAATGTGTGCACGTGGAATTTGATTGATCGCACTGGCTTTGTGGAAACAAGATCCTAGCAATAATGAAGTTGTGTTAGCAGCCAAACAAAGACAGAGACAGGGGGATATGCAAAGGATGGTGTCATGCACAGCGGTGCGGCTTCCCCATGCTACAATGCACCAGCAATACGGTGTACTGTGACTCCATCAGAAAGACTATGGCAGTGTTGCCCACATTACTGAGGAGAGCCCCATGAAAACACAGTGCTATCAATATTCACCTGCCACCCCTGACTTTCCCCGTTTACAAGCTCTGGAAAATGTTATGCTTTGCAACCTCCCACTGTCCCTGTCTGAAGCGGCGCCGACCCTTCCACGTCCTTTGAACGATTTTTCTTAGAAAGCTACTATTAATAGGAATCATGGGTGAATGTGGGCTTTTGGTGCTCCGGACAAATGAAATGGCCAATGTTTTTTGTTGTTTGTAGCTGGTCGTGTCTGTGGTGTTAGGAGTGGTTGTGTTTCCAGTCAGGCGCTCATGGAGCTGGAGCTGGAGATGATTTCAAAGCAGGTCGAACCAAGTTTGTTCAACAAAGTTGCCCACTTGGCCCAAGCACAAAACAAGACTGATGTACATTCCGAACTGGCGGTTGAAGTCCAACCTTAAGTAGACTTAAAGCAAAATCCAACTATGAACTATGACTATTGTTGCAGCTAATTGAAGGCTCATGATCTAGTTACGCTCAAGGTTCAGGTAAATCAGCCCAAAAATCGGTCGCGGTCGATGCCCACGCGTGGGCGCCCGCAGGCCATCGAACCGGGACCGACGGGGTGAGGAGGAGGACTGCCCGAGCATAAGCCTCCTGTGCCAATTTGCAACTCGGATGGTACTTCAAGACGTGAACGCAGCTTCCACGCCTGCAACGTGCAGTTCAGCAAGAATTGCTGGGCCGTGGGGCTCTCAGAGAACGGCACGGTCGCGTAAAACACGCTCCCGTCCCTCTCATGCATGCCCACAAATCGCCCACAGCACCGGCGGCAGGTTCAGCCTGCGCCGCGGTAACGAGGCAAGACAACACTGATCCAGACGCACTTAGATGGAATGTTGAATCTGAAGGCCCTGTCGCGCCTCGTGGAGGACAGGCGGGGGAGGACGCAAGGTTTTGGCCGCCGCTGGCCCCAATGGACGGACCACACATCGCAGCCCAGTTCCCGGCTTAGCCGTGTGGATGGCTGTGGGACCTTGTTGAGGGCTGCAACGCGACGAGCCGGCCCACCTGCACTTTGTGGAAGCCGGCGCAAAACCTGCGCGCTGCGTTTGCAAACCGGCTTCAGCCCGTAACAAAAAGCTGGCGCAGACAACCCCGCGCCTGTCGCCCATCGATCCACACGTGCTCTGGTGCCAGCCCAGCCCACGGATCGACTGGGTGGAAGACGTCCACGAAGTCATCCAGCAGCACCTACCAAACTTCGCGATCGACAAGACGATGACAAGTTGGGGGGGGTCAATGCTTCACAGTGTGCTGCCTCCGGGTCGTAGCCGACGCTTTCCCCTGGCAGCGGGCAAGGAAAGAGAGCAGACGCAAACAGCGCCCGAAGATCACACAGCCGGGCCTTCGTCGAAGAAATAAAGGTTGAGAGCGGCGAGGCGGGCATCTTGTTGGTCAACGGGGGCGCGCCAGAAGACCTTGGGACGGAGTTGGTCAAACACAAAGGGGCAAAACAGCAGACCGCACCCCGCCTGCAGGAGCTTCCTGCCGTGTGAGGCCTCCTCATAGGGCGAAGGGTCAACAGCCAGCAGCGCGGTGAGAAATTTGGAGCTCAGCGGCTCTTTCAGCCGGCGCTGGCGTTGACCTCCGCGTTGAGCGGCGGGCGGCTCCCCCTGGAAAGTCGTCCAAAAGGACGGGGTGAGTTCAATGATGGGGCGACGCCTCGGATGCAAACAGGCCAGGCAGTGAGGGGCCCCCATAGTTACGGGACTTATAACTTGACATACGGGACTTATAGAAGTTAACTTATAACTCTAAGTTATAACTAAAGTTACGGAAGGAATTAACTTCCGTAACTAGTTTGAGCGTCAGAAATGTTTAAAAGGTGCGAATCAGGTATGCGTATGCAAAAATGATTGTAAAACCTAGGTTTTTGTCTAAAACCATATGAAATGTATAGAAAAATGGCTATAGCAAGTTTGTTTTTTTAAAATTCTTCTTGTTTTTGATGCCAGACAGGACTCTTTCAAAATGTGCATATGGGCCGCCAAACAAGAGACAACAAGGCGGAATGCCGCCAAACCAACAAACCACAACAAGGCGGAATGCCG